AGTAAAATTCTTTGTTGAAAGTGCGTGGGAGTCTAGCCTTAGTCCCTGGACTTAAGTAAATATATGGTCACGTGACGTATCTATTATGATATTGTACACTAATTGAATCCCAATGTTGAGTGAATACTCAGGGGCACAATATGGCTTTTCTGGTTGACAGAACTTTAAGTCCTAGCTGCTCATCAAAGATTGCACAAGGCAGTCTGTGGGGAAATCCTGACACAGAGCGCTGTTGTCAAGATCTAGATGTCAAACATAGTCTCAACAGGGTGACGGGCCTATTGTATTACCGTATCTGGCTTCTCCGAAACATCATACATATGCAGGCACAGCAACGGGGCAATACTGCAGACAACCGACAACGCTAACTAGCGAAGGCACGTGATTTGCAACCAGCTCTGCCCCATTCCGTAGCAATGACGCAGAGACCTAGCCCAATCAAATTAGAAGAGACTACTTACACAAGTCTATGAAAGATAGCGATCGGGACTGAGCAATAATCCCGTATACGGTTGCCTAAGTCTTGAACCAAGTGTTTCTCCTGCGCAGCACTAGTCATCGATATCGATAACCTATGGCATCAATATAAATCCTTCTCGCTATGTTTTCAGCATATATATAAAATTAAGGCGTACCTCATGACCTGAAGGGCCGCCTGCCGTCCCTTTAGGCAGTCAGCCTAAAGAAGAAAAAGCCAAACACTAATTGATATCATTGCTCTAGGCAACATTGAATTGATTACAATCTTGTCCTCAAACTATTACAAGAAAGAAAGAAACACTCCGATCCATACATACCACGATTGTGGTCATACAGCGTTGGCACCTTATCGAGGATTTATTCATATCGAAGACTAATAGTAATGGATGTGTCTGACAGAAATAGCGGTAGGTCTGCAAGATAAGCTGAAGGCAGCTTTCGACAAGATGTCTCCTATCAGGGAAAAATAAAAAACCCTCATTCAATGGCTGCTAGGTAGCTAGAGGACAATAAGGTTTGGAATGTGAGATCCATAAGATATCAGGCTAGACTAATCTAAGGCCATATCGATAGCTCACGTATTAAATCTCCATCCAATTAGTTTGCATTGCCTCCACAAGTGTACCGTATCCGTTACTGTTGCCCTTATGCTAATTTTCCATGGCTATATTGTAGCATTGCTCTCCAATCTATAACATTCGGCATTTGCCAATAAGAAACTAAAGTAACACTCTAATCGACCGATATCGTTCCACTTAAGCTTGGGGCACTAAATACAGGGTGTTAATGGAAAGAAAGAGTCAAGGCAAGCATTATATAGGTAGCTCACTTCGAGACATGGTCTCAGGCCTCATTAAAAATTATTACGTATCACTACAAAATACCCCATGGATAAAAATATGATTGTAGTAAAGGTTTTACCTACTCTTTTGTGGTCGAAGTAGGAAATCTCATGCAGTGGTTTGTAAGGTGTTATTCTTGCAACCTTTTGGGTCGCGGCCTTGAATCAAGATCGAGAACGTTAAACCCTTTATCTAATCTAATGCACATTGACTCGCATTCGCCATTCTTCACATCAATCATCTCAGCATGTTTACACTCCATTCTTGAAAGTACGCCCCTAGCTATAGCCACTCCACAGCTCTAGGCAAAGTTCCCATGTCCTTTCCAATCTCATTATTTGAGCGTACGTGACCGAATCCAAACCTGATGCGAACTAACTTCCCGGTATGCTATATATCTAATCGCCAATTATATGTACTGTGCGTAGTAAGCGGGAAGATTGACTAAGTGTGCAACCCAACTATGAAAGCGTTTCTGAGGAACTTACGCTTACGATTAACTGGTCATATTATAGCACACAAGGCACGCCAATGTAGATCAACATGTTAACGAGCAGCAATATAAGGACTGGATTTACACTTGTATTGCGGAGTTTAGTTTGATAGCGAATTGCTACCATAGCCCTAAGACTATAGCGATCGAGGACAAATTAACTCCCCTTCATTTTGGACACTCATAATCTCGTATTACAGGTTTAGGAGCCCGGCGGATCCGCTGAAGCATCCCAATACAACATCCATGAGATCTGTGGTATCAAACCCAGTAATAGAGCACTCAAACCCGGGTATCCCTACAGGAGCAAGGACAGGTCTAGTCCTGACCCACCCTGGAAATCGAACCTTAGTGGCAGGACAGCCAAGCGGACCCTAAGAATCGTAAAGGGGCAGTATGAAACAACGCCACAGGAACACTCAAAGGCCCCAATGCTAGAGATACGGCCGCAAAAATCGAAAAGTTCAAGAGATTTAGGGAAAAATGCAATCCAACTTTAATAAAAAATTCTCCTAGGCAGGAAACTTGGTATACATGTTCATGCATGAGTCACATGACATGTCCTACAACATATTTATAAGGTGGAATCACCGTATAGTCATGGGTTTATAGTAGATGCAGAGATAAAAGGTCCAATATCTATTTATTTATTGTGGGGCTCCCTCACTCTAGAGCATTAATCAATCTTGTGTCTGTGGCCATCAAGTGAATATGAATGAAAGTAGGGTACCATTGTAATATTAGTTTTGCATTGATTCGAAGCTCAATAGGTAAAATTAGTGTGTAAGGCTTTAGCGTCGAATTGTTTCACGTCCTTGCATACTCGGCATATGTCGTACATAGTGGTAGTTAAGTTCATGGTCGATCTAGGGTCGACCACAAGCTCGTATTATCGTAGAAAATATATAAACTTTAAAAAATCACATGTATGTTCAGAAATTCAGATACTAACAACAGCACAAGTTTGTATTTCTTGACTTTTCGGGTCCAATATTTATACAATTGGTCGACTCGAATTTTTGGATCAAAGGAGAACACTCATCGCAGTCGAAACCAACAGTAACCAGATCAACAGTTTTGGATGAAAGTATCCTAGGCTTTATTGTATCCATTTCAGGGCGCAAAATCAATGATTAGGAAGAAATTAGTGAGCCTAGAAAGCTCAAGCTAACCCGCAGGATTTTTTTATGTTCAGTCCAATGATTGCAAACATACTTCAAACAAAATTTTGAAGTGTATTCAGTTCTTATCCAGTAATGGGTACAACCCTCGAAGTATGCTCTATTTGTTCACTATATATTGTATATAGTGGTACAGAGGTTTCTATTGGCCCCCAGGGTGGCAATGATATCTTCACATCATAGCTGTTAAGTTCCGTCTGTGCGGTACCAGACAGACAACAAATTAACCATAAATTAGGGAAAAAATCAACGGTTCAACTTGTGGCTTTCAACGCTAATCATCGAGAGTTGGAGCTGATATCAATCCATTTACAAATGCAATTACCATTCTTCATTACCATCAGCGCCGCGGGGCAAAGTGCAATCATTCCAGCTACAGTCAAGAAGGTAACCTTCAACGATGGAGCTGCCGGAATGGTGGGTCCAAACGGTCTCGGACCCCATTAGCTTTAATCTCCCCCAGGCACAGATAGCAATCACTCTTCGCTCAAGTACAAACCGGAGGCACAATCACCGGACATCCTGGAAGCAGGACTACTACCTGGATGAGTTTTGGAAATTCAGTTTCCGCAGCGCATGTTACGGGGTTGTCTACAGCTCACTAGTGATTTCCAATTTTGCAAGATGATAGTTCTCCTAACAAGTGGAACCCAACCTTGGCCGGAGATTTGGGAAATGGTGCCTTGACTACAAGTTTCTGCCGATTTAGGTACTACCGTCGAAGCTTGGCTGCCGCGATTCACCAGCTCGTTCTCCATAATTGGAGACTCCATCACAGATGGCCGAGGCAGCCCCACCGACAATAATGACCACTGGCCGGATCAAATCTTCACCCGCCTTCAATCCTTCAAGAGTTATCTCACCTCCATCGCCATTGCCAACCAAGCTGCCGGCAGAAATCGCATCCTCGCGGCCCGAATGTCCTCTCCCATTCTGGTGTGAAATACGTCATATCAACGATATTTGGCACTGCTGCCACCGACCCACAATCGCAAACTGCAGTGGGAAATTCGAATTTTGCTGCGTACAAGCAGATCATTACTGTACCCGTGTTCACGCTGCGGGATTACCTATTTTCGGAGCGACGATTACGCCTTTCTGTGCTCCATGAGAACAGGCGTCTATTCAGCCATATAGTAATGCCGAGATGGAGAAGTCTCGATCGAGACTAAGACTAGGCAGACGGTCAATGACTGGATTAGGACCAGTGGCAAGTTTGATGCGGTGGTAGACTTTCATAGTATTCAAAGAATGGAAGTATGCTGGCTGATGAGTACAATACAACTCCGGCGACTACCTACATCCCAATGTTGCAGGTATAAGGCCTTTGCAACTGCATTCCCGGTGGAGTGTTTTTCGGAATTTCAAAGACGGGATTGGGTTGGATTTAGAGTTAAGTGTAATGTATATTAATAATGGGCTGGGACAGCTGAGTGGAATCCACAGTTGCGGCCATAATCTTTCAGGCGCCATGTCGATTATTATTAGTTAAAGTGGCATATCCCCATAGCACCATCTTGGTCATGGCAGGCTTCTATTACATATTTAAGTCCATAGGTCGTTCACCCGTGAGGTCGCTAGAATTATTTCTATGGCCTGCTGCTACTAGGGTGGTTGAGAGCAGTGGGCATGGGCTGAAGTGCGATCCTGCATGAATTTGAGCTAGGATGAGCTGCCTCACTTTGCAAGTCCTGAGGGCTTGAGGGGTGCATGGAAGAATCAGATAAGTTTGGCTTTGGGATCAATTTGATTTGTTGGCTTACTCGTCACAGCTATAACGAACACTTAATAAATCTCCGTGGGAGTGCACGTGCAACTCACCAAACACGACACCTAACCTTTCAGACAGAGTGTCCCCATCCCCGATAGGTGGCTGAAATATTCAAAGAAACGCTTACAACTCGAATTATCCACTTAGGTAATTCTGGCGCTGCCCTTACTTACTTTCTGATTGATCACTTTAAGTGTTCAACATATGGCTTTGACTAACCGTATTAATATTCAGACGTCGTGCCCGAGTGGTTAAGGGGAGTGATTAGAATGAGTCTTGAACTTAATTCATCACTTACGTTATGCGTGCGCAAGTTCGAGTCTTGTCGACGTCGATATTTCTTTTTGTAATTCGTTTTGTGGACTTTAGGAAACATAATTAGATACTCTTCTGTTAGATTTTTCGCGTAATCTAGTAGGCATCCACATGGTAGCGTGCACGTGGTTGCATTTGGGTGCATCGGAAGCTGCTTATTCAGCGGATCCACCGTAGAGACACATACCCTCTCTATCTGTCATCGCCACTGCTTGCATAAATATAGATTGATGTTCAATCCATAAGATCTGACTTCTTCCACCAACTAACCAGACTAATATTTTTGTCAAAACCTCCTGTTCTTTCTAGTATTGTATGCTCATTTTATGTCATTCTATGTATACTTTCCTGTATTTCCTTCGTGAAATTAAACCAAGAGCCTTAACCATCTCCTCTATGCCTCCCATCTACTGTACATAGTCGACTTACCTATCTTCCCTCTCTGGTCTGAATTGCCGTTGTTATTGCTGTTCCACTGTGCTTGTTAAAAATCAAAATACTTTAATGAACATGAAGCCCAATAAAATGTGTGTTGTCCTATCCTCCACGAAAGAGTAGGGTAGCTGAGGTGCAATATAACTCACATGAACGAAGCTAATGATTCGGTTGATGACATTTTGCGTGATTAGACAGGAGGTCAAATATCCTGTAAATTATCATACAAATTCAATTCATAAGATCGATTATCTAAGTAATTCAAAATCTCATGAAGTCTTTGTGCCAAGTGGAAGGTCATGCATGCCATAAAACGCCGGTGACAGCATAAAACTTGCTGACCCACTGCATATGATTCTCCAAGTGCCGAACATTTCCGTGAGCCATTGCTACTCTACCAAAGTAATGGCATGAACTCAAAAGCAATACAAAACCCCTCACCTAATTTATCTCATTCTTTTTTTCCTTTTGCTTTTTTGTTTTCACGAGTTGTTTTCTTTCTGATTTTGCGACCGCCACTTAATTAAACCGGGCTGCAATAGTCTGAATATCTTAATGGCCGGAGCCCAGCCATAATACGCTGCTCAGTCTCCAGCTGCTTGCAAGCTTGTTCATACTGACCCATATCGGTTATGAGTTCCAGGAAATTAGTATCTGAGAATCGATGCAAAGCCCAGTCGGGCCTGGAGGGGAGCTCTACTAGGTCTCCGTTGAAGTTCCTCAATGAACACTTGTTACGATCACATTTGCCGAAACCCCAGTTGGCGGGCTTGGGGAACTTGGTGACACCTGATTTTGCTTCCGCCTTTGCTGACTCCTGAATTTCTCTCCATGACTGGACCTTCAGTGGGTGGAGTGGCTTCGGGTCCCAGGGATTGTACCCTTCGTCATTAGGGTCAACAGGAGGAAGTGGGTTCATTGTAGGTGTGGGGGCATAGGTGAAAGGGTCCGGCCTCTCGACTTTATACGCGTCATAATAGTGTACATTTGGGTCATAAGGTTGAGGACCTTCAATCTGGTACCCGCGGCCGAAAGTCGTTAACCATTCCCACCATCCTGGGTCGGGATTACGTGGAGGTTCGGGGTCGTCCTTCCGGATAGGCCAAGGATAAACCTTCTTTCCAGGGTTTCCAGATTTGCACGTCACGCATTCATGCTTCCCTGGCCAATCTGGGAAACCCAAGTTCTTTTCCGGCGGTGTCATCCAGCCAGGCCGATTCTGAGGTCCAAATACCTTGGGCTTAGTATTTTGATCTACGGTTACCATCGGACTCTTGCCCTGGGCTGGGACATCTTCATGCTGCAGACGGCCAGAGTGCCCATAAAAATCAATCTCATAAAGTTTCCCGTTTTCCTCGACCACGCCCTTGTCTTGGCCAACAGCAGGCCCAGTATGTACTGTGTTACCATTCGTGTTTTGAAGCGCAACTTCCGTTACCGGCTGAGGTTCTTGCAATTGGGCAAGGATAGCAGCGTCAGGTTCGGGCTTCACATGTCCCTGGGAGACAATAGCAAGTTTCATATTTGTATCAGCCGTGGAATCCTCGAATGGTGACAAAGTGTCTGAGTCGGGTTGGGAATGGGCCTCAAGCTCAGGGCCAGAGTTAGAGGTGGGTTCCGAAGGTTCGTAGGCAGAGGCCACAGCTTTGGTTACTGGTGCCTGCTCAGTCACCTTGACGTTGGGCAGTAGAGCTTGCGATTGGTCGGTGACTGGGTCTACCTTGCTATTGTGTTCTAGCACTTGATCGACGCTCGCCGGCTCGCTCTCAGGTTCAAACTCAAAGATAGCAGGTATAGCACCAGCGATGGCAGGGCGGATATAGGTATTATATTTTTCCCAGGCCTTTTCTCTGTAGTTTGAAGGCCCAGGGATGTCACCGTAGCCTGGCTCATCTTCCATTTCGAGTCTTGCGTGCTCTTCCTGGGTGAGTATTGGTACATCTGCTTCCTTCTGAATATCTTTTTGAGCTGGAGCTGCTGGCAATATAACTTCTTTCCCCTTTCCTTTATTCCTAGATGACTTGGTTTCGTGTTCTTCAGGCTCCGTTTGTATATTCTGTGGCGCTAATAATACCAGAGCTCGGTTGTCACTTGATGGTGGGCTGGGTCCACCTTCCTCCTCAGCTTCTTCCTGAATGGTTTCTAGTGTTGGAACTATTATTGCCTTACCCTCTCCCCTGTGGGTAGGGGTATCTTCAGTTGCCGAGAAGTCAGTGACTGGGTCCTGTAAGTGAGACCCATCGATGATTATTTGAGGGTCATGAGCTGTATTTTTGCGTAAGATCACACGATTAAACCAATTCCAAGCCTTTTTCATGAGTTCTCCAACTTTCGTTCCCTGTCTCTGGATCCATTCCCATCCCTTTGAGGTTTTAACCCATTGGTACGAGCCGCGGAATTTCTCTGCAAGCCCACGGAGGAAGCCAACAGGATTCTGGCGAACTTCTTCAACAACTTCATTGGTAACTGTATTGGTAACTGTATTGGGAACGGTAACGGGTGTTCGTTGAGCCGGAGTATGGTAAACAATGAGGGGCTGAGAATTTGATGGAGGGGCACGACGCTGAAGGTTATTGCGTTGCGCGGTGGAAATGTCCAAAAATTTTAAGATGTTATCGTTGATGGCAGTCTGTGTAAAGGTCAGTATCAAAACGGCATTGTTCAGAGGTAAACCTACCTTTGTGGGGGCCAGTGTGTGTGACTTTTCCGCGAATATATTGGCAAGTTCTGCTATTTGGGTCGAGATCGGCACCCCATAGACAGTTCCATGGAGTGTAAAGAATATGCCTAGAAAGGCAGAGCCTAGAATCTGTTGGATGTTCATTGATCTAAATAACTCGAAGTAGAGTCATTATCTAGCTACAACCAGAAAGGAGAATGAGCAGTTCGGGAAATTACTCGGGGATCTTTAATTCTAGAATTAGCAATTAGCTAATGATAGAACTGGCTGTGGAGTTGGTGAATATTGTGGAAGAAAATCTTGTACAATAAATGAGGGAAGTTAGCCTTATGTACAATTCAGCCTTACCCACCTGGGAAACTTGCCACAGTAAGTCAGTTCGACACTCCCGTGTTCAAGTGGACCTGTGACAGCAAGCTTCTAAGAGAGAGTTGTGGTTGTAATAGCTTCCCTCGCTAGAGTGCCTAAAAATTTATATCATGGGATAGGTATGGTAGTCAAAGTTAGGCTGCAGGTACGAGAAAGGCTTGTAGGCGCAACGGCAATTGTTTGTTCCAAATTAACAAGAAATTCAATCAATCCCAAAGAAAACAATTGATATGACTTACTCAACTCATTTCCTAGCTCTGGATAAATTTGGGATATTCTCATATTTTACCTTGCGATATTCCCATAATAAAACCTTAAACTTTGAAGGTAATCCTTATCCTCGACATCTTGCCAGACAATATTACCCTGAGTTTGTGATACACCTCTGCATATATTCGCTCTATATCGCTCGCTCCACATATCAGCCTGGATGTCGGGTCCGGGTAAGCCTGGATATTCGCTCTATATCGCTTGCCCCATATATCAGCCTGGATCTCGAGTCCGGGTGAGCCTGGATATTAGCTCTATATATCAGCCTCATTAATCGCTTGCCCCATATATCAGCCTGGATCTCGGTTCCGGGTGAGCCTAGATATTTGCTCTATATATCAGCCTGATTAATCGGTCGCTCCACATATCAGCCTGGATATTCGCTCTATATCGCTTGCCCCATATATCAGCCTGATTAATCGCTTGAGCCATATATCAGCGTGGATCTCGGGTCCGGGTGAGCCTGGATATTCGCTCTATATCGCTTGCCCCATATATTAGCCTGATTAATCGCTTGCCCCATATATCAGCATGGATCTCGGGTCCCGGTGAGCCTGGATATTCGCTCTATATCGCTTGCCCCATATATCAGCCTGAATCTCGTTTCCGGGTGAGCCTAGATATTCGCTCTATATATCAGCCTGATTAATCGCTTGCCCCGTATATCAGCCTAGATCTCGGATCCGGGTGACCCTGGATATTCGTTCGTATTCCTGCTGTGCGTCTGCAGCTGTATTACGAGCGCTTTCGCGAGACATGTAACGAGCTGTTTCGCAAGCTCTATAATGAGCTGTATAACGAGCTGTTTCGCGCGAGCTGTAATGAGCTGTTTAGCAAGCTCTATAACGTCCTGTATAACGAGGTGTTTAGCGAGCTCTATAATAAGCTCTATAGTAACCTCTTTCGCATGCACTTTCGTATGCTCTTTGGCTTGCTCATGAATGAGCTCTTTCGCTTGGTATTTCGTATGCGCTGTAGTAAGAAACAGGGTGTGAATAAACCTGACAGTATAAGCCTGAGAATTCATCTGCGAATAACCTTTGAATCCGTAACAAGCTCGACAATCCGCTTGTGAATAATAGGAAATGTGCGCTCACGCATGTCCCGGTCGTGCGAGTGGTGCTCATAACAGCTTGTTAAAGAATAGCCGAAACAGCTCGCTATAGAGCTTGCGAAACAGCTCGCTACAGCGCTCGCGAAACAGCTGGTTAAAGCTAGCGATTTGTCATATATTAAGTTGTTTTTCAAGCTGTATTCGCTGGTGC